TTTGCATTTGCACAACAACTAAAATGTTTACATAGGTATAATATTTAAATCCAATACTGTAGTATTAGACCTTGCTTATGGAGGTAGAGCCGGTAGAGGTAAGAAAAACTACCTCTGTATACAAAAAGTGTCTCTCAAAATGTATAAAATTAAGATAGCGCTTCTGTACCAGAGGGACGCCGACAGTCGATAATTCAGATCACGCAATCCCACCAATGTTGTATATAGTTATACATATTGCTCACTCATATTTAATTAAGAGGTAATTACCAAAAAACCTAAAACTACACCGTTAAAAGTGACTGAACATATAATCTTAGAGAAAATTTGACAATAGACGACAAAAGTCAAATTTTATTGTAATATAATAACATAAACAATTATTATATTAAAACAGTGATAACTTGTGCAATAAGAAGCTGCCTAAGTGGTCGCAAAAGTTTAAAAAAATAAAAAAGACATTATCCATTTTCAAAATCTTGGTATGTTCAGAGTGATGTAGTCATGTATTACGTTTTTGTCATATTTGTTACGTTTCAGTAATTTATGTCATTGCTGAACAAAAATGGCGATTTGCTGGACAAATACAACATTTTGCTGTGCATTTGTTGTACAAGATCAAATAATCCTGAACAGATGTTGAAAATATTGTACAATACAGTAAAATGTACATATCGTCGCCCTTCTCACGAAGTGGCATAAGTAGCAAATAGTACATTTTACAGCAGAGCAATAAAACGAAAATACGTAATTCTCAGATTGACATAATATAGAGGGATTTAGAGTTTGCACTTTCAAAATTTTATCATGGAATGCTAAGGCAATGTTTTATTGTTTGGTAATGCCGGATTAGTCAAACTCCCTCGGGATTTTTTAGAACAGTTCGTGAGGAAAATATTCTGCGTTATTGCAGATGGGACACAGAAGTAATATGCTGTATTGCATACACTATTAAGGTTGTAGATGTGCCACTTCGTGAGATGATAAAGTAGGTCAAGACTAGTTAATCCGCATAAAAAAACATTTTTTTAATTTTTGTTGGTTAGGTCACTTCGTGATAAGGGCGACGATATGGTCACCCTAGTGTATATGAGTCAGAAAAAGAAAAAAAATATCCCTAACACTAATGAGTATAATATAAATGATATAGAACTCAAATTAAATTGTGGAATTACAGTTTTTTTTTTAAGAAAAGAAAATGCAAGAATAAAACAACCTTCACCAATAATAAACAATACCATAGTTTCTAGCTCTTAAATAGGTATCTTGTTTTCTTATTGTTAACACATAATAAACTCCTTATGTAAGTAAGCTGTATTAAACCGAATGCCCTATTTACAAATAAGAAATATTGGAAAATATCTCTTTAATGTGTATTTTATTCTCATTTACAAAAATTACAAATAAATCACTGTTGATTCTCCTAGTCATTTACAATCTATGGTGATTTTAAAATTGCTTGTGTTATGTTACTCAAACTTACAGGAAACGTACTTAACCCAAATTCTGTGGTGTGATTTAAATACGTTGCCACTTATCACCAGGGGCGGTTTCTACATTGGTTCATTTGTTCAGTGAACACCCAGTTAAATTTCATAAAAACACATTATTTTAAAATTACATAAATAACATGAAAATATAAATTTAATTTTAATATTTTTATTTTCATACGTGTTAATCTATATTTTTTGGTACATCATTGTCCTCTGGCTGATCGCATCTCTGTGGCACAGTATACCTAAGTATACTGTGTCTGTGGCGCATTATGATGAATGAGTCTGACACAAGTGAGACGATATGGTGAATGCATATAGCTAAAAAGAGAAGAAAATACGCCAACAGATTCTTCAAACTATCAAAGAACACATTAGTTGGTGCGCCGCTCACAAACAATTCACAATTGTACTAGATGTAGTACATTCTGCGTGCATCAGTGTTCACGTGTAAAATATATAGATTGTGTTCCTTGTTTGGGTTCGTTATCAATAAAGACCCCCTTTTTTTCCTCTTCAATGAATTAGATGTCACTGCAAATAGAATTCGAAAAATTTGATACAGACAAATCTGGTACATAACAAAAACATTCTGACAACACTGTACCAAATAAAACAAACTGTCATTTCGTTTTTCGTCATTATGAAACGTTTTTAATAAAATTAAGATTATTTTATTATTTGTGATCATTTAAGAAAATGTGTTTGAGAACTGCAACTTTAATAAATTGGAAGGATGTATGTCAATTTAACGATTGTTTCCGAAAAACTTCTTTAAGGCAAGGCACGAGTAAAATGTCATTCACCGGGAGGCAAGGTATATAAAAACTTTTTAAGGTTATGTTGTTTACCTATAATAAAGTTTTACGACTGTAATTTGTTTTATATTTTGTTTCAGTGTCTAAGACTGTCCAAAGACTAATTCAAAATGGTCTATTTTGTACCCAATTGTAAATACTATGAAGTAGGAAGTAAGCAAAAGTTTGTAATTTTTTTTTTCCACAAAACCCTCTAAAAGGAAAAATTTTATTATTCTGATGAGGTAACTATGGAAATGGAAATGTACAATAAAAATTTGATAAAGATAAAGAGACAAACTTTAAAAGTCTGAATCGGAAAAATGGATCAACCAGTTAATTTAATATACCTACTCGATGAGAAATTTTACCTATGAAATGGTATGTACATTTAAATAGTTTACCTATATAAAGTTATGTTTGCCTGTAATTATCAATCAAGATCGTTTGTTGCATACAAACTAGAAATCTTTTATTTTAATGACATTTTTTTATTGCCTTGTTTGTATAATTTAGTATTTTCAAAAATATTAGATGTTATGGTAATTTGAATCACTACAGGTATTAAATAAAAATAAGGCTATTGGTAAATTAGTTTACAGTTAGTAATAAAGAATGTTTCGAAAAAAGTCTCGAAATAAGTATCAAACATAAATTTTGATTTTGATTAGGCACTTAACAAGTTACATCCCACATATCTACATGCTCTGGCTAATTAATCCTATAAGTACATATCAAAACATTAATATACTATCTACAATTAAACAGTAATTTGAAAATACAGATGAAGCCGATTTACCTATTTAGACAAAATACTATTATTCTGTTATTTATTAAAACACATTATTTTTTAGTAAACATGGACATGCAAAAGTCTACCATGAGGGTAGGACATAATATGGAGTTTTAAGTGTGATAACATTTTACGATATGTATCTGACTAAACTAGTCAGATACATATCGTTCACAGATTTCTGTGTTCTGTGTTCAATTATGTGCAGCTATTTCAAACTTTTAGTATCCTTTGATAAAAGAAGTTGAATATTATTTTTGACCTTTTTAAATTGTTTATTTTACCTAATACATTTTTTTTTTCTACTCTTCATACAGTATTCTGTGAAGAGTATTATAGGTTTACTTTGTCTGTCCGATGTCACGTTTTTTGTCTGCACGATAAGTCAGAAACAAGAAATGATACCAACTTGAAAATTTTAAGCAAAAATCAAGCTCTATAAGGGGACAAAGCCTATTGATTTTAACAAATCTGATTAAAAATAGGGGGTTAAGATGGGTTGAAATTAAAAAAAAAATTTAAATTTAAACGAAAAGCGATATCAACATGAAATTTTTAGTAAAAATTAAGCTTTACAAGAAGATAAAGCCCATTGATACTAAAAAAAATATGAATATATTGGGAGTTAAGGGGGGTTAAAATATAAAAAAAAAATCCTAACTGAAAAACGAAAGATGATATAAACTTGAAATTTTTAGCAAACATCAATCTCTAAAAGGATAAGATGCCCTTTAATTATAAAAAAAATCTGAATAAGTATGGGGGATTTAAGGGGGGTTGAAATTAAAAAAAAAATAAAATATGAAAAGCGATATCAACATGAAATTTTTAGTAAAAATCAAGCTCTATAAGGAGTTGAGGCCTATTGATTGTGAAAACAATCTGGTTAAAAATGGGGATTAAGGGGCTCTGTTAAACTGCGAAGAGTATCATTTAGAAAGAATACCAGGCATTATATATCTTTATTCTAGTTTGCGTCTGTGTAATATTATGTATTGTGATAGGACTGAACTTATAAAATAAACATTTAAAATATTTTAGTTCCTATTTTATTTGCCAATAAAAGGTAATTAAAAAAAATATTTTTTATTTGACATCTGTGACAAATTGTGAAAATGATTCAACTTACAATAAAAACTAAAAAATGGTAGGTAAAGTTTTATATAAATTTTTTTTACACAAAAATCAATGTCAAGCTTTCTACATAACCTGATATATATTTAAAAATAATCTCAAATTATGAAGAAAAGTCAGTTTACTAACTAATAATGTTTATAGATGGTTTTGAACATATTAAAAACAAAACAAATATTACACTAACTAAATTATTCATTTATTAATAGTTGTAGTGCTTGAAAACAGTGTGATGTTGATAATAATAACTACATTTAATACAAACTCAAATAATAAAAAAAAAAAACAGCGATATTGAGTCTTGTACAAAGTTTTGATCCGGACTTAGAAATGATAAAATTATTGGAAAAAGTGAACACCCATTTTAAATTACCACGAGCCGCCAGTGCTTATCACCATAAAACCTACCGCAGTACTTGGAGAAAGAGCCACCTACAAACGTAAAAACAAACCACAAAAAAATTGTTTTGGCGCTTGACTTCTTTCTTATATTATGCCCGATGGGAGCAAGACAATGGTACAAACTAAATTCAGCAAAATTTGGCATTTGGTCCCTTTGATATTTCAACGCTTTAATAATTATAAAATTGTAGGTTAATAAATGGGATTGTATTACAGTATTATTATTTTTTCTGATCCTACACATACAGAGTAGCAAACAAGTCAGGCAACAAGGTATTTTAGGGAAATGAATAGGACTGTATTATATAAGTAATGTGATACTTTTTTAGTATTCTTGAAAAAATTTACTTACTTTACTTTAATTTAACCTTAAATCGGTACCTTTTACTCCTGTCAATTTGCAATATGTTAGTGGTTAAATCTTTGAGTGCTCTAGAAAAGTGAGGAGGGTGTATATATTTTCCAGCTACTATTTTTTCATACAGTTTCATGTGATCCTTTGCGCAAAAAGGCGGAAATCCTGCAGACATTTCAAAAAGTAGTACTCCAAAAGACCACCAGTCAACGGAGTAGTTGTAACCCTGGCTGAGAATTATTTCGGGTGCTAAATATTCGGGAGTACCTAAAAATTACCACGGTTATTAACAGAATAAAAAACATGATATATAAAATGGAATAAATTTAATCCTTTTCTCAATATGGTGATTAAAAAAATCTCGGAATATTTGATTTTGTTTTTGAATACTCCAATACTCCAATTTAATAAAAAAATATATACATAAATTTTGCCAACATGACATACATGACCCTAACAGCAATATAATATAAAAGACCAAAAAAAGAAGAAACGACAATTGACATAATCATACTTCAAATATATACCTGTCAATTATATCATTTGAATCAACTGCATGGTAGTTAACGATATAGAAAAACATTTAACCTTTTAGTAAATTCCTTGTGTAATGCATCGAAATGAGTGACATGATGAAATAACATCGTCTTGAAGCATTTCTGGCAATTTTGACAAATGCGGAAACCGTCAATATTCTTTTCTGCTTAAATTTTGTTTTTAAAGTTTACCCACAAAGGCCGATATTATTGCTTCGAATCTTGACAGCATTTATAACATATTGTAGACTCGTGCAATCTAGGATTAGTAAAAAATGGTCTGTGAGTCTTACAGTGAATGACCAGTACCTCAGGCTGTTGTCGCTTTATGTGAGCTATAAAACCACGATGGCGACCAACCATAGATGGTGCACCATGAGTCGCAACAAAAACAATGTTTTTCCATGTAATAGCTTTGTCGGTAAAAAACGTTCCATGGCTTGAAAAATCGATTCTTCTCTGGTATCAGTATAGAAATATATAGCAAAAAGCAGTTCTCGGCACATATTTCCATATTTAATTTCCTAACAACATAACTTCATTGCCAGGTAATGTAGACTCGTCCAACTGGAGACAGAATCTGAGGTCTGTAAGAAATTGCATAAAATGTTTTTCACGTCTCGACTTATCTCGTCTATTCGTCTTTGAACGGTGTTATTGCTCAAAGGAATTATCTTTTTAATGTCTTCGTTACTTTATTTTAATTCACTTTATTTAACTATGTAGTCACTTTGTAATCTCTTGAAATAAATTAGTAGATGAGTGTATTATAATTCAAGCTCCAATGAATTTCAAAACGCAAATGGACTTTCAACCTAAGTGCAAGTTTGTTATGTAGTAAAATATCTAAAATATCAGAAGCATGTTTGAACTTGATCATGATTTCGTTTGTGTTAATTGGCGTATATGCGTCAAATACAGAGCAAGTCAAAACGTGCCTGAAAGACTTGTACGCTCGAACTCATTATCTTGCACGAACTTGTCCAGGCTTATTGACTTGCTGAGTTTCTCATCTTGTACGAACTTGTGCACGCTTATCTATCTATGGAGTTTTTTAAAAGTACAACAATGATACTTCCTACTAAATTAATAATCATTCTTATAACAAGTTGGTACATGCAGTATCTTGAAAGTTTCAAATAAGAACTTGTGTTATTTAATAGGGGTCGATTTTTAGACCCCCAAAATCAGTTTTCGTTATTGTTGACCCCCGAGAAACCGATTTCGACCCCAAAGGGTCTGTATCGACCACTTTGGCAAGCCTTGGTCTGAGGAAACAAGCAACCGCATGCAGTCATTTCCTCAGGTCGTCAGAAATACGGATTCGGCCTAAATTTTTATTGGGTATAGGGCAAAACTAAAAAGAGCAACAGGAAGAAGACTATTCATATGAAACGAGAATAAGAGAGGGAAATAAGAAGTAGGGCGTTAGCAATTCCACTATTATTCGCGATGCCGACCGATCTCATCCGTTCACTCCAAACATATTCAATCTACACCGGATCGATTTAGGTTTTCGTTTTAAAATAACTAGGAATTCATATACCGAACGTTATTTATACCACTCCTGAAAAAATACAAATAGTAAAGTGGTACCATAATTTTATTCGAAAGTGCATGATAGCACAGTTTTTATGGCAAAGGTTTATATTTTTATATAATTTTGTTATCATTCATTTTCAAATAAACTATATGGGGGCCATTCCGTTCAAAATATTATAAATTTATTTGCAGTTGCATTTGAAAATAGGTCAGTTCCTACGGATAATGCAGTTCATACAATTATAGCAAAATCTGATAATTTTGGTTGCGTTAATAATTGCAAAAAGTATTGTCCCTCTAGGCAACCACATCGACAGCAAGTGACGGTAAAACGAGAAATTAGAGAAACGCAGGTCTGTGTATTAGCTGAAGCTACACCGTCTTTGAGTAAACAAATTGCCGCTAAGGTTAACTTGAGAGCGAGACAGTTACAAAATATTTTTAAAAGAAACGGGTATTTTTGTTGTAAAGTACAGATCACTCAAGATATTTTTTCTAAAGACCAATTTAAACGGATGGAGCTTTGTCCGATAATGATAGAAAGAACGAAATAATAATTTTTTGAAAAATATTTTGTTTACAGATGAGTCTTCATTCACTCTCCATAGAAAACATAATTCATCCATTTTGTGCTATTGGTCGCAGGAGAATAAACACTGAAGTGTAGCCTTACGCACACAATATCCACAAAAACTGACCGGCTGAGCGGAAATCAGGGGATAATATCAATGGTTCTTTTTTCACTCAAGGTAACCTTAATGCTTAAAAGTATTTACAACTACTTAAAAATTACATTATTCCTGTCGTCAGAAACCTTTAGGGCAACTTCATTGACATTTAGTTCCAACAAGATGGATGTACATTACACAATGCACAGATAGTGACTACCTACCTAAATGGACAATTTTCCAATCGAGTTATTGTTACCAAAGGCACTAAAAATGGCCACCTCGGTCGCCAGACTAAGCACCACTTGATTTTTATTTTGATGAATGATTATACAAATTTATACAGGTTTGAGTTCGAACGAGCTACCCAATTGGATGAATAACGTAAAAAATTATACAGTTCAGTGCTCAAATCACACTCCGAGTAGTGTAAGAAAAGAGAAGATTTGGTTTTTGTTTAGCCCGAGTTAGTGGTTTGTTTGAACCACTCTTGCAATTATTGTTATTTTATTTGAAAGACTGTTTAATTTTCAGTTTTTTTGTTTTTTTGTTTTTTTGTTTTTTTGTTTTTTTGTTTTTTTGTTTTTTTGTTTTTTTGTTTTTTTGTTTTTTTGTTTTTTTGTTTTTTTGTTTTTTTGTTTTTTTGTTTTTTTGTTTTTTTGTTTTTTTGTTTTTTTGTTTTTTTGTTTTTTTGTTTTTTGTTTTTTTGTTTTTTTATTTTTTTTTTTTTTTTTTTTTTTGTTTTTTTTTTTTTTTTTTTGTTTTTTTGTTTTTTTGTTTTTTTGTGTTTTTTTGTTTTTTTGTTTTTTTGTTTTTTTGTTTTTTTGTTTTTTTGTTTTTTTGTTTTTTTGTTTTTTTGTTTTTTTTTTTTTTTTTTTTGTTTTTTTGTTTTTTTGTTTTTTTGTTTTTTTGTTTTTTTGTTTTTTTGTTTTTTTGTTTTTTTGTTTTTTTGTTTTTTTGTTTTTTTGTTTTTTTGTTTTTTTGTTTTTTTGTTTTTTTGTTTTTTTGTTTTTTTGTTTTTTTGTTTTTTTGTTTTTTTGTTTTTTTGTTTTTTTGTTTTTTTGTTTTTTTGTTTTTTTGTTTTTTTTTTTGTTTTTTTGTTTTTTTGTTTTTTTTTTTTTTTTTGTTTTTTTGTTTTTTTGTTTTTTTGTTTTTTTTGTTTTTTTGTTTTTTTGTTTTTTTGTTTTTTTGTTTTTTTGTTTTTTTGTTTTTTTGTTTTTTTGTTTTTTTGTTTTTTTGTTTTTTTGTTTTTTTGTTTTTTTGTTTTTTTGTTTTTTTGTTTTTTTGTTTTTTTGTTTTTTTGTTTTTTTGTTTTTTTGTTTTTTTGTTTTTTTGTTTTTTTGTTTTTTTGTTTTTTTTTTTTGTTTTTTTGTTTTTTTGTTTTTTTGTTTTTTTGTTTTTTTGTTTTTTTGTTTTTTTGTTTTTTTGTTTTTTTGTTTTTTTGTTTTTTTGTTTTTTTGTTTTTTTGTTTTTTTGTTTTTTTGTTTTTTTGTTTTTTTGTTTTTTTGTTTTTTTGTTTTTTTTGTTTTTTTGTTTTTTTGTTTTTTTGTTTTTTTGTTTTTTTGTTTTTTTGTTTTTTTGTTTTTTTGTTTTTTGTTTTTTTGTTTTTTTGTTTTTTTGTTTTTTTGTTTTTTTTTGTTTTTTTGTTTTTTTGTTTTTTGTTTTTTTGTTTTTTTGTTTTGTTGTTTTTTTGTTTTTTTGTTTTTTTGTTTTTTTGTTTTTTTGTTTTTTTGTTTTTTTGTTTTTTTGTTTTTTTGTTTTTTTGTTTTTTTGTTTTTTTGTTTTTTGTTTTTTTGATTTTTTGTTTTTTTGTTTTTTTGTTTTTTTGTTTTTTTGTTTTTTTGTTTTTTTTGTTTTTTTGTTTTGTTTTTTTGTTTTTTTTTTGTTTTTGTTTTTTTTTTTGTTTTTGTTTTTTTTTTGTTTTTTTTTGTTTTTTTGTTTTTTTGTTTTTTTATTTTTTTTTTTTTGTTTTTTTGTTTTTTTGTTTTTTTTTTGTTTTTCTGTTTTTTGTTTTTTTATTTTTTTGTTTCCGTTTTTTTGTTTTTTGTTTTTTTATTTTTACTAGAATTGTTATATATTTCATGTTTGATGTTGTAGAAAAGAAATCAAATGAATAGGTTGAGACATAAAAAATATTATTTTAAAAGATAAAATAATATCTTTCATTTCTAATAAATTATCGTAAAATACTCCTGCAACTGTTACATTTAGGTGTATTGTACATCAAATCAAATTTACACCTTGGGTGTGATGGGAGGAACGACAAAGTGTGATATACCGCGCTCGCTTTTTACAAGCTGTCACTGTTTATCTTGTTAATTCACAGTACTCAAAAATCTAAGCCGAATCTGTATATTGAAAACCTAATACATTTCTGTACAGTAGTTTGTTAAAAAATTGAAAATTTTGTGAAACGCGAGGTTGGATTCAAAATCTAATATTCATTAATTTGGAAATTATTTACTGTCAGCGATAACTCAACTGGAAAACCGCTGTGCGTAAAACAGGAGTAGGAGTAGGTTCGAATCCCTCCATAGGCAGAATTTTTAAAATGTTTCATTAAATTTATAATAATTTATTTAAGGATTTTTAAGTTGATTATATAATCTAAAACACAAGGGTTTTATTGTTTAAACTGATAGGTCTTACCACATAAAGTGTACGTCCTTTGATTTTCTATTTTCTTGCAGAATCCCAGATCAGTAATTTTTAAGTAACCACTTGATTCTATTAATATATTTTCAGGTTTTAAGTCTCTATAAACAACACCCATACTGTGGCAGTACTCAAGTGCCAAAAGTACTTGCACTGCATAAAATTTTGATAAATTTTCATCAAATTTTTTAGCCGTTCTAAGATGATAAAACATTTCACCTCCATTTATAAATGGCATTACAAGAAATAAATAAACATTGTTCCGGAAAAAAAACTCCAGACCTAAAAATAATTTTTTTTAGATATTTCATTTATTATTATTACTATTATTATTATTATTATTATTATTATTATTATTATTATTATTGATCAGAAAATATATTATGTACTTAAAGCAATGGAGAACAATTAATCATTTCGATATTCTACAAAATTTAAGAATTCCGTCATAAAATACTCATCAAAGAAACTCACATTTGTTACATAAGTTTAAAAAACTGAAAGAACCATTTAATAAATTCTAACAATCGTTATTTAGAAAACATAATGGGTCCTATGATTGAACGTTTACGTTATCCGTAACGTACATGTTAGGCCGAATTTTAAAAGTAACGAGGCAAGTTCGTATGATGGAAATCTGTTAAATTAGAACATAACAGGCGGAAAATAACAGTAATGTGTTGGAAAAAGTTTTCCATCGTACGAACCTTGCCTTGTTACTGTTAAAACTCGGCCTAACATGTACGTTACGGATAACGTAAACGTTCAATCATAGGACCCAATAAATATACAAATAACAACGTCGAACAACTACTAGACTAATTTTTTTTACAAAAATTGAATTGTACACATTCATGGTGTTATCTACATAGTTGTCAAATTCTTATGAGAGATTATGGGTGGGTCTTGTTGCATGGATTGTTTGTGGTTAAAATTGGATATTGACTTGAGATAAGGTTCTAGAAATACACGAAAGGCTTTCAAAATTACAGTAGAAACGTATATTTTGATTCTTAATGCCAGTTATTATCAGTTTAATGTATTTTTCTCGTTGCAATTATTATTATACCTAGTTAAAGGTGACTTCGCAATTAATTTTGTAATGTAAAACAAGCGTCGTAAACGTAAGTACTGATTCATTCATAAACGCATTCTCGGTCCTTATTTAAACAAACTCGTACAAACCATCCTCACACAAATTAACATCTGTCTTTCTTCTAATGCGGCTGCTAATGCCACAGCCACAGTTTATAGCTAAAGAATCAGCTCACTCGGACAAATTGAGTGTTCTAAAATAACATCCACTACAGTGATACAAATTCAGGATGCGCAGAAGACTGGTGTTTGAAAATAGGCGGTTGTCATTGTATAGTAAGAGAGCCCACTGCAAATTTCGACCGTCATCTGATAACGAAATGAAATATGCTCCAAAGACATGCAACAACATTGTACTTTACCAAATTGTACCTGTGCTAATTCCTATCCTGAGTAAAGTGGTTAAAAAAAATTATTTTACATTCAAAAAATCGGACATGACAGCGACAATTGTATTTTCCCTGAAAATTATAATCTTAATTCATTGTGAACCTAGCTTTTAAACCTAAATTATTAATATTTTTACCTACTTTTTAAACCATGTGTATGTGTGAAAGAAAGAAGGGTGGCATTGCATAAACCATTTACAGAGATAGTCAATAATAATTATAAACTCTTGTTAGACAATTCTTTTAAGGAGGTCCTTTCGCCACACCTCTCGCCTCCAATGTTAAAAAAAAGTTATTAGATTATGACTAAAATTAATTTTTTTCTAATAGTTGAAGTCCTTATTTATCTAATACTGAACTTTTAACTATACCTTGCCTTGCAAATTTTTGAGAATTTTTTTTTTTTAATGTGAGTATTTGTACAGTGCCTCACGAGAAAGTAAGTCCTCAACAACAATTCTCGAATTATACTATTATTTATTGATTAGATAAAGTAGAAAAAAACTAAAAATATATAAGTTACCGTGGAATTTATTGAGAAATTAATATTAAAAAAAATTTCAAGTAACCTATTTGAAAATTTTTTGTGATTTTTTAATATTAATTTCTCAATAAATTCCACGGTAACCTATATATTTTATTGTAAAAAACAAAACCTGGTTATTCTGTACAACCTATTACAGTACCTCTATAAATGTTTAGAGGATAAACTAAATACATACATTTTCCACATACATCTACCTTGAAACATTTTTCTATAGATATTCATTGAAAACGAAAATACTGAAAAATTTTTATTTAGCACTTTTCCTCCAATTTTTCCATTACGGTCCATTTTAGAAAAATCATGTATAAACAAAAATTATAGAGATCGATATCGCAAACAACTTTTAGTTCAACAATTTTCTTAAAAATCAGAAAAATATCTTCTATAGGATAATTGATACGCCAGTGAAAAAAATATGTCTACTTTTAAAGGACTAATCAAAAAGTATAGGGTGCTTAAAAAATTGTTTTTTTAACACATTCGTTAAATTAACTATCAATATATTTATCAAATCACCTTGTAGACAATGAATTGGATAATTATACATACGGTAAATACACAAAAGTCCCGTAAACATACTGTGTTTTACATTAATACTTATAAAAAAATATATTGGCCCATGTCGATATTTACGGAATCACCCTGTATAAATGGCACCTAATATCTTTTGTAATATCATCAGTCATGATAAATAAAGCAATAATGTATTTTTTAGGAAATATTTTTACCTTTTAGAACAATAAAAGTAATTATCAAAAACACGTCCTTACTTATTTGTAGCTCACTCTGTAAAGGAAAATAATTTGATACCCCTTTTTATATTTGTAGAATGCGAAAAGATGTTATAATAAGATTTGGCACAAAAAATTATAATCGAGTAGCTTTCTCTTGAAGTAATCGTTATCAAATAAGTGGTATTTCTTAAGTTTAACACCCTGTATCTCAAAAACCAATCATAGAAAAGAGCTGTTATTTTGGAAGATATCTGCTAAAGGACGGATGATACGCCAGTGAAAAAATTTGTATACTTTTACAGGACTAATAAAAAAATATAGGGTACTTAAAACAAAATGTTTTTATGACACATTTGATAAATTACCTATCAATATATTTATTAAATCACCCTGTAGTCAATGAATTGGATAATTTTATTTATCGTAATTACAAAAAAGTCCCGTAAAAATACTGCGTTTCACATTAATACTTATATATAAAAGATATTACAATAAGATTTGGCACAAAAAATTATAATCGAGTAGCTTTCTCCTGAAGTATCCGTTACCAAATAAGTGGTATTTCTTAAGTTTAACACCCTGTATCTCAAAAACTAGTCATAGGATTTGAATGGTCCCTTGGACACTATTGCTTAGGAGGTCGAGAACTGCAACATATCAAAAATTTATGATATTTAACAGGTCGCCACTTTTCCATAAGCGGTGTGCGGGGTCCTTTGTAACCAAAATTAAAAATGAAATTAATTCCAAATTTCAGGACTTGGACAGTAATTTCTTATACGGTATAGCGACTTACTTTGATCCTAGATACAAAATCAAATTCTTTGAACCCATTATTAAAGATAAAGTTGAAAGTGAATTATGGAATATAGCTACAGGTGACTCAAATATCAATGAGAGTCCACCAAAAAAAATTAAAAAAGTGTCTATTGATAGCCTTTGCTGCAGTAAGTCACTACAAAATGAACTAGAAATGATGCTTGACTCTTCCAGCGATGATAATAGTGGTGTTTGTTCTAAATCAACTCTAGATTCACTTGTGACTAGACAAATTAAAAACTACTTTCAAGAAAACAGGTTGCCGATAACTGAAAATACACTTAACTGGTGGAATACAAACGGTCACAAATACACGACAATTTCAGCAACTGCGCGAAAATATCTATCGGCGTCACCAGGTAGTGTACCAAGCGAGCAACTATTTAGTGGAACAGGGCTGATTTATGGGCCACTGCGTAATCGACTTAAAGCAGACAAAGCAGCTAAACTATTATTTTTAAAGTATAACTTACCTCTTTTAAAATTTAGTTATTAATCTAATACTGTTACTATTTTTTAATGTCTTCATTCGTTAATTTTCCTAATATTAATTTAGTTTTTTTTTTTAACTTCCGCATCTGCAGATACTGATCTATAAAAATCTGCATCCGTATCTGCAGATGTTGGAAAATATCACATCTGCAACATCGTTGATTTGAATATGTTATTTTCTAGAAAATTAGCGCTGTCAAGCCTTATGTGATTTTTGTATATGTAATTTTATAAAGAATTCAGCAATATAATAGTTCATTGCGTTTTTGATTCAGTGTAGGACTCAGCTGCCTAGACGCAAGAGCTTTTCTATGAATAATGCAATGGGTCCACAGTACATTTTGTGATTTGCTTCGAACAATTTAATATTATTACCATCTATAAACCATACATGGCATATTAAATAAGCATTCTTATTAATATTCGTAGACTCATCTAATTGCAATCCAAATTCCACTCCTTTAATTTTTTAATTGTTTGTCGATATCCTCCGCCATATACTGTATTCTCCAGCTAATTGTGTTATTTGACCCAAACACTTTTGTAGCAACTTCTCAGAAGACTCACTATATTTACAGCAGCCGGTAGAATAAGTTATTCTACGATGGTATGAGGCTTCTTACATTTCGTGATTATGTAACATCCTAGCAAAGCGTTATTAGGATTGATTGATGCAGTTTTAAAAAATGCATATTTTTTCCTTCAGTTGTTTTAACTTCCTGGCAAAAAAATCACAAGGTTTACCGACCTTACTTGAAAGTACACGCTCCGCTGCCAAATTTTCATACACAATAAACATTGTGGTCACCATTAATTTCTGTTGATGTATTTACAATTATGCTACTGGTTGATATAATTTCTTTATTCATTATTACGTTTATTACTGTTTCAAAATCGGTCTGTCATCAAATATATAGGAGCAAAACATTCCAAAACTATTTACTAAATACAACAAAAAAGAAGGAATATAAAATGGCAAAGCCACGAGTGATATGGACGTGTTTGTCAGCTCGCGCCAGTTGGTAAAATAGTGCCACATGACAGTGGAAAAATGGAGTGGTCAAATGACAACCTCGACATCTGTATTAGAGATTTACCAAGGTTCGGATGTATCCAAAATCATGTATTTTGTGGTTTATGATCTAGATCAACTAGGTACTTAATATTATGGCTGCAGCAGCAACAAGCAAGTCCACCTCGGTATAA